AAAATGACTGCAAGACGGTCAGAAGCCTTGGTCATATCAAGCCACAAGAGCCTATTCGAGAGCTGGCGAATAACTACGACAGGAACACAGGGCCCTGCATGCGATTCGTCATGGCCGAGTGGTTAAGGCGTTATGCTCGAGAGATGCCGTTATCGACGCTTTTCTCAGAAGATGCCCGATACGGCATGTGCGAAGGGCGCTAGCTTCAGCCTCATCGCCCAGGTGGAGCTGACATCTAGACCTACATATCTACGCTATTCCACCTCACAACTACATTGCGCATCCTGATATAGTTCGTCATCTTCTGTAAGGGACGATTTCCGCTGCGGCTGTCTCGTACTGAGCTTGTGTCTGTCTTCCAAGCTTCGTCGCACCTGGACATTGGTGCCTTGACGCTAGCCTTCTACAGGACAGCTGCCTAACTCCTCACAAACCTCATCCAATCGCGACCAACAAGTATCGTTTTACAAACCTTGGAAAGAGATATAAATCATGGCGACAGCAGAAGTTTACCAGGAACCGGCTTCCTCTCCTCTTCCTTCAACACCATCACGTCGTCAAATGCCTCCAGCTGCCGCGATGTCAAGCACACCGACAACACCAACACTATCTAATCGTGCCAGCCAGACGGTCTTCACTCCGGTGCAACTCGAAGCGCGAGCAATACTCACACGCCTTCTCACACACCTCTCTCAGCTTCCAGCCTCCTTCAACGATAACGACAAACCCCACCCTTACCACAAATACGCCCCTTGGACCTCTCACCACAGCATTCCTACTCTCACTCAATCAATCTACTCCCTGATCCGTCCTCAAATCTGGCATCTCCTCTCCTCCCGTCTCTCTCTCGACGCCCTCAAGCATCTCGGCGGGGATCTGCGTCATGAAGGCCGGGCCATCTACCTCAACGGTATCTTAGGCGTCGACAAAAGATTGAGGATTTATGTGGGCCAGAGTAGTAATCTACGAGTGAGAGTGGCGCAGCACCTGAATTTTAGGTATAGAAGAGATCATCCGAGTCTACATTATTATGCCCTGGAGTGGAGTATCTACAACGTTTTCGGTGTACTAGCCGTGCTTCCTTCGGGTGGATATGGCAATGCAGTGCCGGGCATGGATCACCCGGACCTCATGATGAATGTATTGGAGATGTGGATGTGTCTTGTCTTTCGGTCGTTACCCGAAGATACCCTGAAAGAGTGGCTACCGGATGATATACTTGTCGAAAAGAAAAGGTTAACAGCAAAAGAGGGGATTGTGGGTGGCCTCAATGTAGCAAGTCCACTTGACCAAGGTGTGGAGATGAAAGAGAGAGAGTTTGTGGATCTGAGTGAAGAGGACGACCCCGTTATTCGGGATTATCTGAAGGACGTACAAAGAAAGAAGGGCGACGGCCTGGTTGGGGAACAGATGAAGGAAAGGAAGACGAAAGATGTTGAAGTGGATGAAGAAGAGCGTGCACTGAGGAAGAAGATGTACGCCGAGAAAGCCCGGAGGTATCAGCGGAGGGATACGGACATCGTTGTTCCGCAGTGGGCTTTTCTGGGTGCTATGGCGGTGGGTGTGGGAATTATGCTGCTGAGGAGTAGTGGGGGACCGCAGGCTAGAGGAGCCTGGAGATGAGGTGAATGGCGCCTTCTTTCCTCGTTTCTCGTCCGAGATGAAAGCAACAAGGTCCACGTCGAGCATGTCAACGTTGGCGAAAGGCCAACTACTAGAGCGCCCCGCAGACCACCGTCACTGAAATTTCAAGCCCTAACATACACGACCAAAGTTGATCGCGAGAAAGATTTCCAGGTTCGAGCGCGGAAGCCAGAAGAAGCGACCCGGAAGGTTTCGTCCGAACGGGATGCGATCGCCGCGGTAAGCGACATATTTCACCAAAAAGCTGGTCACAACCCAACGCGTCGGGATGGGAGAGATTCTGCAACATTCGGTTCCAGAGCAAGCCCTACGTCGGTTCACAGCATTTTCAGCATCACAGCTTCTACCACGCCGCAGTGGCACGACTAGGCTTCTTCACAATGGCTCAAGACTGCTTGTCTGTCTCTTCACCGACGCACGATCTGCTGACGACCATGAGACTTCGAAGCCGTGAGGTGAGCCAAAGGCACGGACTTGTCTGTATTGCGCAACCAGAGCCCGACAGCGGGCGGTCGTCCGCTTGGGTGCTGAAAGATCACATCTCGCTTGGAGACTGCAGATCTCCTAAACTACCATCCGCAGGGTACTTCGTCATACCTCACTCCGATCACGACGCGGTTCGTGCGAAGGTTCTGGTCTACAACTCAGATATTACTTCGTCAGATCTACCTATGATCACCGCAAGGCGTGCGAAGATAGGACGATCCAACCCAGGTATTCGGCATCGTAGGAGTGTACTCCGCTTCCCACGCTGAAGACGGATAGCACAGCACGGATTGCATGCTTCCGAACGGCAGGCAGTTGATCAGGCAAGGGTCATGGCAGGGGCGCCCTTGACGATAGAGCAAATTCGAGGCCTTCAACTGCAGACCTCAAGTCATGTGCTTCCCTTCGACCCTGGCATGACGGGAGCTCCGAGATCTAGAGCACAATGTGGGCGCTGGAATTCTCCGGGGAAGATTCAAGACAAACAATGCGGGCGAGCTGGTAAAGGGTAAAATAAGCTTCGGTCCGTTTCTTAGCGTGGCTTTATCCCCAGATTGAAGAAACACTCAAACCGCGCCAGGCGAAGCGACCCCGCTAGTACTATTTCGTGCCAAGAGGTTCAAAAGGTTCAAGATCCAATCGCAACATCATAGGTCAGATTCCAGGGCTGTCAGGCTTCTTCGTTGATCATGGCCAGATAGAGCGTTCTAGATAGGCGTCCTTCCCCAGGATTGGATTAAGCTATGCCTGTCCAGGCCACAAGAAACGCCTCCAGGCTTACCAGGTCGAGCATTCCCAGGCGTACTTACTCACGGGGACTTGGAATCCGACATCGCCTAGAGGCTCTGCAGATATGCTTCCAGATCCAGCGAGAGCAGGGTTCTCTTCAGAGCTAGAGACTCATCGGAGGCTGGCTGAACAACTCTTCACCGTCGTCCTACAACTCAGGTTTTCCTGCTTCTGGCCACGAACAAACCTTTGTGGCTTGAAGTTCTAACTTGACGAGGAAGAAGAGGAGAAAGGTGGCTGTCGAGACCGTGCAGCTAGAGTTCAGCTCCTCATTTTTGCACTGCAACATACCGATAGCGTCGCTTCCACCGACCTCAAGATGCCGAAGGGACTGAGTTCTAGAGCGCCACGAGAGGGCGAGGAGAGAATAATCTTGTCGTACAAGATGTATATAAGACGCCGTCGGGCAGCGTCTTGTTGTTTTCACCAGAGCACATTTTGCAGCATCTCCTCTGTCGATCGAGCCTCCAACACTTGTCCATTTTCATCATGCGCTTCAACAACGTAGCTGGACTTGCCCTGGGCCTCGCCATTCCCACTGGTGCCCTATCCGTCCCTCGAAATGCAGCTCCTGAGCCTGCTGGCAAGATCGTTGCGCAGTTGTTCTGCGACATTGTTGGTGGTCTTGTCACTGTTGCAAAGCAACAGCCCCAAGCCACGAGCTTCTGTTCTTCTTACCTCAAGATCCCGGTAGTCACAAAGACTTCAACCATGACTTCTTTCACTGCGTAAGTTGACGCGACGTCCATCTCCATCGGCATGATCTTTCGCTCACAACAAACAGGACCATTACGGCAACTGCAACGATCACTTCGGGATCGACCACGACTACCGATGCAACCAACACAATTACGGCAACTGATACTGCCACCGCAACGGCGTCTGCCACGATCACCGAGACGACGACAACAACCGAAACCATCAACACAGTCGCATACTCTTCAATCACTGCATGCGCATCCCCAGGAGCTGTACAGAAGCGGGGCGCTTATGTTCCCCCAAAGAAGCCCTCATGCTTCAACAACTACATCGAAGGCCAAGCTCTCTCTTCAGCATGCAAATGTCTTGCGGTGCCTACCTCTAGCACGACTACCACGACAACTTTGAGCCTTCCCACCACCATCACAACTTCAGTCACAGTAAGTCGCTAGCAACTCTACCAACCCACATCATTCATTGCTAACCAACACCTCCTCCAACAGGTACCCCTGACTATCCTTGCAACCGCAACCAACACCGACACCGCGACAGTCACAAACACTATGACGAATACCGCGACCGAGACCTCCACAGTGACCGAGCGCACAACCATCATCACAGGCACCCAACAAGTCATCGCGATCCCCACCTTCACCGTCTACGCCATCGGCGGCGACAACAGCGGAAACCCCATCGCGGACGCCAGCGTCTACATCCCCAACACCACCGGAAACGAGGCTGGTCTCTCGCCCGTCCTGCAGTTTACCACGGTAGACAACAACAAGCTACAAGTCCTCAATGGGCCATATGCTGGCTCTGTCGGCAAGACCAACCCGAATGTCGGGGCAACTGAAGCCTATGTCCTTTTCGGAAGAAATGATGCTGGGCTGCAGGAAACGGTTTGCCAGGTCACGTACAATAACGCCGATGGAACATGCCCTTTGTCTTGTGTGGCTGCGAGAGGTACGACGAGTTATGACTGTGGAACCTTTTGGAGGATCGCTGGCGATGCTGACGTGGGTGGGTGTTATAAGTTCACTCCTTATGCTGTTGGTGGACCTTAGAAGCTGAGTATGTGGAGTACTAGTTCACGATTGAAGCGGGAAGAGAAGGGGTGTTGGGTTTATAGTAATAGTACTATTACATGATATGCAAATCTACATACAAAACCCCTCTTCAATCGGCTCAGCGAAAAAGCGAAAGGACACTCCTCTGTTATACGACAGCGAAGCCAACAAGCGAGGTCAGGAACGAATCGAAGCCAAAGCTTCCAACCATCCCCCGTAGAGAAATCGAAAAAAAAAACATACTAAAAGGCAGAACCGGCTGACACAAGTATATACAAAACGAACACCATCTTCACAGATACCCAGTGTCTCAAACTAGATAGCAGTGCGCTGATTACGATGCGAGTAATCACCGCGTTTCGCAATGGCTCCGTTTTCACACTTTGCGCCTTCAGCCACGGGGATCATAATGACCTTGCCGTGGTCGCAGAGACCGAACTTCGTACCGTCGGACGAACAAACGACAGCGCCGTCGGGGGAGCAGGCCTCTTTGTCTGAACCTGGATTTGCGGGTGCGGGTGAGGTGGGTGAGCCGGATGGTGTTGGTCTTAGAGGCGCGACGGGTGATGCTGCTGGAGACTGGCTGGTTGGTTGTGGCGCTGGAGCCGCGGCGGGGGCTGTGCCCGTGCCGGCTGCTGGGCCAGGTGGGAAGATGCCATCGGTGTTTGTTGGCATTGGTGCCGTGACCGTCACGAGTGTGCGGAGGGTGGACTCGGCAGGCTTGGGCTTGGGTGAGCAGGCGGACTTGGTGCCAGATGGAGCAGCTGGTGGAGCGGGAGGGGGGCTTACTGGAGCTGGGCTCGCGGCAGATGGAGGCGTAGCAGCAGGTTGGTAGGCCCCTGAGTCCGGGGAAGGACTAGCAGCTGGAGGACTGGCGGCTGGAGCACCAGGGTCGGCATTGCCGCTGCCACCACCAGCATCAGCACCGCCGGTGCTGGGCTGCGAAGTTGCGCCAGTGCAAAGATCCGCGAAAGGGCCTTTTCCGACAGATTTCACGTACTTTCCTGGGTTCTGGAACGTGAAATCACTGCTCTCTTTTGTCGTACCGCAAGACTGCGGGACTGGGATGTTTGCGACTGCCATGTCGGGGAGAGCATCAAATGCGGTTGTATCGTCAGCACCGCCAGAGATCGTGACTGGCGCACAGTTCATGTACATCTCGCGGTTTCCGATCTTGTTGAACCACGTCCACGCTGTTGTCATGACGCCGTTAGGAAGCTCTGGGGGGATATCGAACTTGAAGGTATTGTCGAGGCTGGGACCGAATTCGTCCAGGTTGGCTTCTGCAGAGACAGGGCAGCCACCCTCAATGGAGTAGATGACTTTCCACACGGAGTCCTTTGTAGGCTCCTTGTCTGTGGTGACGCTGATCTGGCATGAGCCTCCACCATGGACGGCCGTACCAGTGAATGCAAGAGTCTGGGATGAACCGACTTTCCATTCGTTCATAGTGTTCACCGTATATGGTACGGCTTTGCAGGGAAAGTCGGAACCGCTAGCGTCGAGAGGTGAATTGTTGGGATTGCCGTATGGCACGGGACTCTTGAGAATCATGTGTGCGTTTGCAGAGAGCGGCGCCATGGCTAGCATGGCCGCTGCGGCGTAAAGGGTCGACTTGAAAGACATGGTGTTTCCTAGACCAGCTGAGGGATGTACCGTATAAGTCGAAATGTTGGTTCGGATGTCTGGAATCGAGAGATGTCTTGTCAAAGACTTGTCGCAAGTAGTTCTTGGAAGAGTAAAATGAAGGTCTCGTAGAGTTGCGTAGTTGGTATGAATGTCGTGCTCGTATTTGCGATGAGTTGTGTAGGAAGAATAACGAGAGTCTTTAGTAGGCGCGATGGTAAGGACCGTGAGGGCGTTGTAGAGTCATAACACAACAGCCTTAGTAATACGTAATGTACAATAGCTTCACAATGAGACAAAGGTTGGAGATTATATACTTGATGCTGGGAGGTGAAGGTAAGTATTCAACGTCTCCCGGCGAATTAGCGCGCGCCATCGTTGCGCCAGCGCTGTGACTGTGAGTTCTTGATGAAGACTGCACATGCCCGAACAGGTACAAGAACTCGCGAAAGGCCCACCGAAGACATGTACTTCCTACCTTTCTTGTTTCATTAAGTGTATTTGATTGGGTGTCCAGTCATGATAGACCCTAGATCCGTTGAAATATAGCTGGGATGCACAGCGGCAAGAATTATCCTGGTGGAGACCGTTAAGCGCCACTAGTTACCCAGGTGGAAGGAAGGCATAATGCGTTTCAGATTTTCCAACTCTTGCTATCCATACCTAGGTACTCCACTCCCAGGCAGCGTGTAGAGAGCTCGTGTGACTGAAAGACTTCGGGCACGTGGGAATGGTGATCTGATGAATGTGGATGAATTGAGAGTGTTCATGGGCTGTAGGGCGCTGTGCCGCAACAAAACGTTCATAATGCGCAGTGATTGGTACATCAATCGTGTATGCTGGCACATCAAGGGTATTTCCATGCATCGTGAAGTGAGCACCTGGGCAGGTGAGGTGAAGTGAAGGGCAGACATTGGAAAGAGCCCGTGGAGCCCTGGCTGAGAACCTTGGGACGCTTGCGGACTAGCGGATCTTGGCAACGTTAGCAGGACCGCAACCGCGAAAGCATCCGTCACCAGCCAGGGACGCGCAAAAGCAGTCGCAATTCAAACCGACTTCCCTATCGGTCGCAGTGCAGGGGTAATCGCGAATCGACCAGCCTTCCGACGGACCCCGTGACCCATTCGCCGCATTCGGAGGCCCCGTCGACATCGCGACGCGTTTAGTGTTCGCGAGCTCTGCTGAGCTTCCTCACATCTCCTACACGACCATCGACCGTGTCAACAGCCATGTTTACGAGTACGGGAAAGACGGCGCCGCCCCAGGCCTTCATGTCGAGTTATGCGCCGCGACTGCGAAGCCACGGAAACTCGCTGATATCGCCCATTGTTCCGCCCTCGAATACCCTCCCTGCGCCGCGCGTGACAAAACGCGGGACTGCCGTTCTCAGCTACGCGGAGGATGCCTACGATGATGACGATTTCGAGGATAGCGATCGGCCGCGACGTGCGACAGGCCTGCGAAGCGTACAGAAAATCGACCCGAACAGCGCAGACCACACGGCGCAAATAGCAGCGCTGGGCGAGGAGCTCACTGCGCCAGTGGATATACAGGGAATCTGGCGAGACTGGATGGGCAGGCCGAAGCGTACACTGTATGTGGCATGGTGGCAGGATTGAGCCATGGGACACATCTCGCAATAGAAGGCTAACATAGTGCAGCACGGAGAAGCAAGTCCAGACGCAGTCAGTCTTGCCTGTCACGTTGATTCCGATTCGAATAGACATGGACATTCAGGCTTTCCGGCCTGAGGCGCCCCTCCCAACGCCCTCCAACGCGCGAGAGTTCGGCATCAACGAGAACCTGCCCGCGTACAAACAACCCGATGTCACTCCCGCATACAGACTCAAGGACTCGTTCCTTTGGAACTTGCACGAGGCCTTAACGACACCCGATCAATTCGCGAAGCAGTTCGTCGATGAATTAGATTTACCAAACGACCGAAAGCCCCTCATAATCTCCCAAGTCGCAAATCAGATTCGGCAGCAGTTGGAGGAATATGCCGGTGTTGCGCTACACCCTCTATTCCACTCTGCAAACTCGCCCGCTGTCCAAGGAACAAACGGCAAGACCGCACTGCCTGCGTCGTCCCGCGATGGCACCTCAACACCACAAGTACCCGCCACGAACGGCGCGTCGACCCCTATGACCAACGGCGTATCGCATACGAACGGCGCACAGACGCCAGCGGGCATTCCAAATGGCATCAGCGCAACTGCGACCGCAATGCCGTCTGAGGAGCTTCACAACCCAGATGACACATACCGATGCATCGTCACGCTCAACATCAACCTCATGAACCGATTGTACACCGATAAATTCGAGTGGTCACTATTACATCCACCAGGTTTCGCGGAGATGTTTGCTAAGACGACGTGCGCGGATCTAGGGCTATCGGGAGAATGGGTGAACGCCATGACACATAGCATCTACGAAGCAGTCCTGCGACTTAAGAAGGAAGCCTGCGAGAATGGCGGATTAGTGGGCGACGGCGAGATCGATAACGATGCAGTAGAGCCTACCATCGGTGCAGGTTGGAGATACGACCAAGAGCATCTCTGTGACGAATGGGAACCGAAGGTGGAAATCCTATCACCTGAAGAAATCGAGAAGCGCGAGGGGGACCGTGAAAGGCAGATTCGACGACTACGCAGAGAGACGGCGCGCTTCTCCTCGACCGCAAACATGACGGGCCAACCCGCCAACGAATTCTTCAACAACATCGAAGGACAAGAGAACATGGGCCGCGGCGAGCGCAGCAAAAAGAAGAGACGATTCAGGAGTTTGAGCCCGGTTGGAAGAGGCACGCCAAGCGCCGAAGGAGGATCCGGCTATGGCGGGCAGGGTGGAGGGCTCCAAGAAGGGTATGTGACAATACTGGCATTGTGCATTGTGATATTGGAACTAACAACAACAACCACAGGGAGCGACAAACATGGAGATGCGCACACTGCTGGGTCTGGGGAACTGCCGTCTGGGCTGTTCGCGACGGTCCAAAAGGCCCACGCACTCTCTGCAACAACTGCGGCTACCTCTACGAACGAGACAAGAAGTTGCCGCCTTGGTCAGAAAACCTCTTCTATCACGAACGGCCACAACATGAAGTCCAACAGTACCGACCACAGCGGTGATGAGCTTGCAGTTGTCTGTGAAGGGGTTTACTTCATCGGTGTTAGGGGTTCAGCCTGGATCGCAGTTATCCATCCGAACGGCATTCGTTTTTCGTTCCTGGACACTGCCGGTGGGTGTTTGATGTTCTATCGCATTTCATGGAGCGTGGCGTCTTGGGCTCGACATCGTGTTCATCACGACAGCAGGCTTGTAAAACAACGTAACTTTCTTGCCCTTGAGGCTAGCAGCATAGTGTTGCCTAATTGGCTGGGTTCGACTTCCGTTCGTCTAGGCCATTTGGAGGACTTTTGCCATTTTTGAAGGACCAGTGCCATGGACTGGGTTTGCACGCACCGGCACATGTCTGCCTTGCAGACACGGGTACGGGTACGGCAGCGGACTCTCCAACAAACTGGCACTGGCTCAGCCATCGAAGATGCGGCACAGCCCGGCTTTTCCCTTTTCCAGTGCCTCCATATCCCCTGCCTGTACACACAAGGAATCGTACGATCGACAGAGGACAGATAGTGTATACTTACTAGCTGGCAGTGCATATGCATTCCTATTGTTCCTTCCTTCGTTCTCTTGTCGCCTTATTGTGTGTTGCCTTGGCCACGCGTCCTTTTCGTATCGCATTCAGCCTATCATGACTCTTCTTGTCGATGTGGAGGCTGGTATTGAGACTTTGCGCAGAAGAGCGCCGGATTTGGGCACGTTTGCGTGGCGCTGATGGCGGTGGGAGTGCGCGTGGGTGGCGTGTCAAAGCATCGTGGCTTCGTATTGAGAGGAATGCAGCGAAGGGGCTTTTTTTCGGAGGAGTTCGCAAGCCATAATGTTAAGCTTTTGTACGAATACGACTTTGGACATCAGGTTTGCAAGACTCTGTTTTTAGTTCAAGATGCAAAAGTTGTCAGTTGTATTAGGAAAGAACTTTGGCCTCACATTCGTATCACGAAACCGCAAAGGAACTTGTTCATGTGTGGCACCATTCCAAACCCCATTCTATTGTCCCATCCCATCTTCCTATTGTGCACCCAAAGCGTCAACCACCGTCCACGTACTTAGTCATCCACCCATCTGCATCATCGATCATCATGACTCCTAGACATCCAACGCATGAGCCAACACACATGTCTCATTACACGTACATCAACGCTTCTCGTACCCTAGCTCCGCACCTCACGTGCGTGAATGTACCTACGTACTCCATGGCGTGTTCAATAGAAACACAATAGCAAGCGAAATGGTGCAGGACCCTGCACCACCCAACCAACGCGCAGATGGCTACCTTGGTACTTGATGAAGGAAGAAACGACCAGCATAGATTTTACCCGGTTTCGTACGACAGTTGCACAAATGGTGCATGTGAGAACGTGACGATGGCCAGGGAAGTTGCAGAGAAGGAACGTGACAGATGGATTCTTGTGTTACACAGGAAGGTACCTGGCAACCAATCAAGTCACTATCCTCGAAGTAGTGACATAGTAGTTGGTAGATCACGATCCCATCCCTATCCTCATTCCAGCTACGGCAAGGCTGTACACGCGCGCTTAGCCACCTTGGGCTTTCGACATTTCATCCCCATCCACACACCTTGTACGTTCCCTCGCACACATTCGCTAACCCCAGACCAAAAAAAAATCCTCCATCCATCCTTCAAATCCGCGGCCTATCATACCGTCATAAACATCAACCAGTCGTTCCTTCGCACGTCCGAAACTAGACTAGCCCACCGTTATTGAAGCACAATAGCAACAATGGATCCATCCCGCAAAGGCCCGGTACGCAAACTTGATTGCCGGTAATGGGTCTAGACTAGACTGCTGCTAGCTATTATGCGGTGGGTAGCTAGGTATGTGGCGCGTGTTTGTGCATGCAACTGGCTATGTGGGTGACTCTTGCTATTGTGCTAGGTATTGTGTTGGGTGTTTCAGGTGTGGGGGTGCAGGCTGCGCAAGTGTGAATAAGGCGGATGCGCGGGCGGACGCGGGAGGATTGGGGCGTCCACTGCAGCGGGTGGGTGGGTATATATAGTTAAGTGGTGGCATGCTTCGGGGAATGAGGTTTGTGAATGTGCGTGTATTTGAGGTTTAAGGTGAGTTGTTCTTGGAGCATTTGGTGACGGATGGGTTTTGCTGACTTTGGATATAGTTATTGTGCGAACAACGAGAGGATACCAATACCAACTGGCAAACGGCATCAACGGCATTACTATATCGTCATATCACGATCATATACCGGTTTATTGCATCTTCCTATCGATCTTCGTGGTCGCGCAACATCTACCGGCAAAGCGTTTAACCATCGACATTTGCCAGTACGGTTACCGAACTCGCATGACCGCCGCCTAACCCGTCACACCAACATCACGCCACAACCCCACGATCACGATACCCACAGACGGTCTTCCCCAAGACACGAGAAGTGATTCCTTGGCCAAAAGAAACATCCATTGATATATGCCATGGACCCATTCCGCACCAACAACGCAGCAGTATCCAACGCAAAAGCCACCACCCTCCACACCACCCCATCATCCACACCCTTCAACACACTGCCTACACACTCCTCATCATACCAATCATACCAAGACGACAATCCAGCACCCCCCGCCTACCACACCGTCGTAGACCCCACCCTCCCCATCCCCAACATGACAAACCCGTACGACCCCCAAGAAGAAGACTGCGACGCTCAAGAAACGGCAGACGACACACCCGAAATCACAATCAACGCCGCAACACAGATCCGGGGCCACGGGAACATCATCTCCATTGCACAGATGGACAGCGTGAGGATAGCGAATCTCATTGCTACTGTACTTAGTGGTGAGACTATTGAGATGGGTAAGACGGGGGAGGAGGAGGATGCGGCTGGCAGGCCGATTACACCAGAGAGTCCGACGACGGCACGGGGGGAGTGTACGTCTACGACGCAGGTCAGAGGCGTGAAGCGCTATTCCAACATCAACATCACGGTGAACTGCGGCGCGACCATCATCGGTGATAGGAATATCGTGGGACCGGGACTGGGCGATATCGCGAGGCAGATGCAGATGGCGCAGAGGAATCAGGCGGCGTTGCTGGCTCAGCAACGGATGCAGCAACAGCAACAAGCTGCGGCGGCGGTGGGAGGTCAAGTACCAAGGATACCGTCGCCGAACGGACTTATGTTTCCGATGAAGCCTGCGACGCCTCCGATGAGTCGCAGTTCTAGTTTGATTAGCGAGACGTGTCTTGGAGGGAGGAAAAGGAAGTGTGAGGATGGTGGGGAGGGGGCTGCTGCGAAGAGGCGTGGTTGAGGCACGGAGAGCCAGATGCTCTATGGATGCAGGTTGGCCATCATAGGATTTCTCTCCTTCTTCTTCTTTGGAGCCGGGGATACGGTTCGGTTGAGCCAAGTCTTCTGAGATGTGGTTGGCATTCTTGGAGCCTCATGAATAACGAGTTATGAGGAATGAAGGCCTCAACGGCTTTGTAGGATAATGTTGGATATACACGATGAAGCTATAATAATGTCAACGTTCGAGTCATATCTGTTGGTCTCTGTCATTCCTCTCTGTTATTCCCGACTGTAGTCGAGTACTGCAAGGCGATACCAAGCCTTTCACATGTCACTCGTGGATGCAGCCACAAGTTTAGCGCAGCAGGCCAGCACAAGTACTAGATGAAGTAAGGGCGTGGCACAGAGTGTGGATGGAGCTGTGTGCGAGGGTGCAATATCAGCGAGATGCCAATGACGCAGCGGCAGATGGTGAATAGCGTGTGAGTGGCTTGTGAATGGCTTGGTGTTCAGCCGCCTAAAACGTTAGAGGCCGCCGTCGGGGGTGTCGGGACTCGGAGTTAGCCCTCCGCGCGCGAGGTGCTTGATGCTTCGTGTCCTTTACGAGTTGTTCGTGGGCGCGCAGGAAGCTATTGAGATGCGATGGCAAGACAGGCGTGTGAGATGCGGCATAGAAGAACAAGAAGAAGATTAATAGAAGTCACTCGGCGTATATCAGAAATATCATCATCGCCTTGCTGTGACGCACTCACCCGCTGCAGCGCCTCCGTCGACCCCTGCTTAGTGGCATCCCGAACGGGGGAGCACTCCTAAGCTCACTACCACATGGAGCGCCTTCACTCTGCCATCTCCAGCAATTCCCCGTCTCCCGCCCTACATTGTTAGCCTCGACGCCGAGTCGATGTGAATGTGTAGCACGTGAATCAACACAACCCTTCAAACTGCGCCGCCCGTGTCAAGTGGGCGATTCGGCGGTTGCACTCGACGGTTCAGTAGCTCCCGAAGCGGATCAAGACCTACCTGGCCTCTTCTCGCAACGCCATCGAAACCGTTGAGCAGAGCAGCCGGTGCGACGCGTCAATTTCACACGTTACGACGCCCGGGCTAAGACAAAATCAATTACCTGTAAGCCCCTTTTCCCTCTCCCTATACTCCGTCATCCTACTGCCCTGGCCCTCTGCTCCCTCACCTGCCTGCCACTTCCACCCCAACCCATTGCCCCATCGTACCGTGTTGACATTGGACGTCTTGCAGTAGTCACCACCGCACCCTCGAAGCGTTGCATACCACACGTCTTGCATCATGGAGCCGTGGATGAGCTGGGTTGTGTTCCTGGCCATTGGAGGCGCCGCCTACTGGTACTACATGCACCAGGGCAACACGGCGGATACCCGAGGACGCTCGACCACGGGCAAGTCGACGACCAGCTCGCTCAAGGAGGCAGTCAGCTGGGACACGCCAGAGAAGAAGCCCAAGGCACAGAAGGCTGCAAAGCCCAAGGCCCCTCGCAAGTCGGTCAAGACGGCCGTCCAGGATGCCGGCAACAAGGCCGCCGCGACCATCTCGCAAGCCGCCCCCAAGCAGGCTGCCGACGACAGCGCCGTCGAGCCCCCCGCCGCCTACACCAACAAGGCCCCGAGCGGCAAGGACGTCTCCGACATGCTCGGTGAGCGCGCCGCCTCGCCCGCTGTCATGAGCATCAAGCCCTCCGAGAAGCCAGCCAAGTCGGTCAAGGCTCAGACACAAAAGGCCGAGGTCGCGACCGAGTCCAAGAAGCAGCGCCAGAACAGGAAGAAGGTCGAGGAGGCCAAGGCCGCGCGCGAGGAAGAGGAGAAGGCGCGCAAGGCTCTCGAGGAGAAGCAGCGTCGTGTCGCTCGTGAGGCGCGCGGTGAGCCGGCCAAGAACGGTCTCGGACAGAGCAAGCCCCCCGCCTCCAACCCCTGGACCGAGGTGCCTTCTCGCGGTGCCGTCCAGCCTCCCAAGGCCGCTTCGTCTGGTCAGCTTCTCGACACCTTCGAGGCTCCTGTCCAAACCGCTACCAAGACTGCCGCCCCTACCAACGGCGCTGCCAAGACCGCTGCCCCTGTCAGTACCCTACCCTCAGAGGAAGAGCAGATGAGGCTTGCTATGGAGGACTCTGCCTGGACCACCGTTCCTAAGGGCGGAAAGCCCAAGCGCAAGACCGTCAACGAGGAGCTTGCTGAAGAGCTCAGCGAAGTCACCACGAAGCCCCAACAGTCCGCCAAGCCAGTTCGGCCAACCGAAGTCATTAAGGAGAACAAGAACCCCAGCTCGCGCTACCAGATCCTTGCCGAGGAGTTCAACCCCAAGACTGGCGACGATGCCGATGACTGGGCTGTCATGTGAAGTGGGTAAACATGACTCAGCCAGCAGCTGGTCTCAGGACCTCGGGTACATTCACGTACCCTGGACGACGATACACCTTTCGATTTCTATCCTATTGAGGACTGTTGGCGCACGTGAGATCTTCAGGCGTTGATCTGACCACCTCCAACTTTCATCACGATAGCATCATATTTGGCATGACGGACGAGCATAGCTCATACGACGGTGGAATTGTCCTTGTAAGCATGGGTATGGCTGGATCATCGGATGGGTTCCTTCCACTGCTTTGCTGTCCAGGCCATGAAAGCATCGGCGTATGGGGTTGCATCTGATCTTATTGCAAAGGCTTCTTGCATTCGCATCCTGTACTTCAATACCACATTTAAACATCAATCAGTACCCGACGCTGGAATAATGACTGTTGAGGCGCGCAGGTAGAAAAAGTAGTTGTTGAATTGCAGCTCCTCATACAAAACCTCCCACACATGTGTCTGCAGTACAGCCGTGCGTTGGTGAAAGCTATAAATACAACCGTGCTCCACCGTGTTGAAAGTGCCCGTGCCAAGTCGTGAATCAGCTAGTCAAGATTGGTCCGGAGGTATTTCGTACCGACTGCTACTCCTGACGCCATAGTCAGAGTCGAGTAGCAGAAATCTGGCCTCTTAGTAGTACTCTAGTAGGTTGCGCGAACCGAGGAACCAGCGCCGCAGCAACCCTGGGAACAGCCCACACGACGCAATTCAATATATTCACCATCACGCGCAACTGCCAGCTAGCAATCCCACCCTGCAATTTACTAGCCTGCAACAGAAGAAAGTAGTGAGACTCAACACATCAAAGTAAGGCGCAAAGGGTTAGGCCGCTGACATAATCTGACGTTCCGAAGGTCAATCGCGTGAAGGACACCTGTTCGGAGCAGCGCAACCCAATCACCTCTACACCTGCCGCCGCCCACCCTCTCTTCTTCTCTACTACACCACCAGCCATGGCGCAGATACGCGGCACCGCTGGCTACCATTTGGGCAACCAGAGTCCCTTTGGCAACTCGGGGCGCAACGACAACAGCACGAACGACCCCAGCCCGCTCGACCAACTGCGCGCCCAGACGAGCAAGCTCGAGGACCTGCTGGACACTGTCTTCGACCCCATTAAGCCGTGAGTCCTGCTCTCGGTGCACCAGAAACGGTGCCACGACGCTGCCCGCCTGGAAACCGGCTAATTCGCTCCAGATACCTCCCTGGCATCGGCCGCTTCCTCATCGTCGTTACCTTCCTCGAAGATGCCCTGCGCATTATCACACAATGGACCGACCAGCTCACGTACCTGCACGACTACCGCCACAGTACGTCTCTACCCCTCCTCTCGCAGCAGCGCGTGAACATTGGCTAACACGGTCTCTCTCTGTTTGTAGTCTGGAACGGCGTCACGCACATGTTCCTCATCGTCAACATCGTCCTCATGACCGTCTGCTCCTTCGGCGTCATTTTCCGAAAGTACTCCGAATACAGCGTAGCGGGCCTCATGACGGTCGTGGTGCTCCAGGGCATCGGCTACGGCCTCGTCTTCGACCTCAACTTCTTCCTGCGCAACCTGTCCGTCATGGGCGGTCTGCTCATGGTGCTCTCCGACTCGTGGGTGCGCAAGAAGTTTGCGCCCGCCGGCCTACCCCAGCTCGACGAAAAGGACAAGAAGATGTACTTCCAGCTCGCCGGACGCGTCCTGCTCATCTTCCTCTTTGTGGGATTCGTGTTCCGCGGCGACTGGGACTTCTGGAGAATCATTGCTAGTCTTTTGGGACTCGTGGCGTGTGTCATGGTAGTTGTGGGCTTCAAGGCAAAGTTCTCGGCTGTTATGCTCGTGCTTATTCTCAGCGTCTTCAACCTCTACGTTAACAACTGGTGGAAATTGCACCCGCACCACCCCCACAAGGACTTTGCCAAGTACGACTTCTTCCAAATTCTGTCCATTGTGTAAGTACCCTATTTCCGCTATCGGCAAGCGCAATGCTAATAGTTGTCCAGTGGCGGTCTCCTCTTGCTGGTCAACATGGGCCCCGGCCAATTCTCCGTCGACGAGAAGAAGAAGGTCTACTAGACTCGGACATGTTCACGCATCACGACACGTGTTTCGGCTTTTTTGAACGAAATGGTCGCCTTATATTCGATATATAAACGCATATATGATATTCAATTGGGAAAAAACGAACGTGGTGGGGAAAAGCGAGAGATGATGGCGGTTTGGCAATCCCATTTTCAAGACGAAACCAGAACAGAACAGTCTAGACAGCAATTGGGTGTCAGGCAAAGAATGGATGTTGGGCTTTCAAAAAGCGCCAGGTTTTCCAACCGTCAGCCCTTGCATTGGGATGTTGTCCTTGTGCCGGGCATCTGGGAAATGGGGGGCAAACGTTGTGTAGAATTATGGAACGAATCCGGCGTTTGTTTCTTTACTTGCGAGTGATATGATGGCGATTTGGGCTTATGAATCGCACGTTCTAAAGGGGAAGATGCGTACTTTCTTCTTTTTACGTATATGGCAAATGCACATTCCCCCAATTTCACTTCCGCCTTTTCGATGTAGATATGACACGGGTTCTGGACCCACAAGGATAAGTTCAAAGTGGAGTCAGTGTCGGTATCGGTGACCTCCGCGTTTGGCGGCTGCGGCATGCCACACACCTGCCATGCGCGGTTTGGTGTAGGCTGGTAGGGTTATCTAGACGCGAGGCGCGCCACTAGTTAGATAATCGTACATGTATCCATATACGTACCTTGGTACATTCACAGAACAGCAAACCAACAAACAACTATTCTACACACAACACTTCTTCCACATCCCTAGCTTTTCCACAGATATACAGATAAGATGGCACCGAATAAGATTATCATCGATACGGACCCTGTGAGTTACTTTCCATGTGCGAAAGTGCGGGGTAGAGAAGGCGGTGGGGGATGCGGGAATAGGAAGGGGCGACACCGAACTCGATGATTTGAGAGTGATTGAGAAGATGGGATATGGGGCTGACATAAGAACAATGAATAGGGCGTCGATGATATCTTGGCTATGCTACTGGCTTTCTCGGCTAAGACCGAGGAGTTGGATATTCTCATGTTGAGTTTGACGTTTGGGAATGTCGAGGTTAAGAAGTATGTTTACAACATCCTCTTCGATTTGTTTCACATGCGTGGAACTCATGCGCTGGATGAGATCCAAGGTTGATAGAGGGGTGACGAATTGACTGACAAATTTCTAGTTGTCTACGCAATGTGGTCACGCTGTTCCATTATATTGAGAAAGAGAGAGCGTGGAGGAAGGAGAATGGCAGGCCTGAGGGGTTTGAAACGTTGGGTGCGAGGAAACCTATTGGTGAGTCTTTGATCGCAGGTGATGATGGAAAAAGAGAATGTGTGCTAACATGAGCGATAGTTGCTGTTGGTGCCGAGGAGCCATTGGCGGAACATATGATGGTCGCGGACTTCTTCCGTAAGTCGGCGGCTCCTGAGATAAATTGGATGGGAAGAGCGAATAGCTGACGTAGCATAGATGGGATTGATGGGTTGGGAGGTATACATCACAGTGTAAGCTCTTTGTCTTCCAACACGATATAGAGAGCTGGGAACTGACCTGATCCAGCACCCACACCTCTCACCAGAAGAGACGTGGAAGTCACTCTTCACACCTCAGCCGAAGAACATGTCGGCTGAAGAAACCAAGGCGCTGCAAAAAGTCAAGGAGAAACACTCGCTCTTCACTCCATCGCTGAAGCCCGCACACGAAGTCATGCTCGACTTGCTGAGGGAGAACGAGCCCGATACAGTTACTATTGTGGCAGTTGGACCGCTGACAAACCTCGCTATCGCCGCTGCGCAAGATCCCGAGACGTTTTTGAAGGTTAAGGAGGTAGTCGTCATGGGCGGTGCAATCGATGCGCCTGGAAACGTAAGTCCTGATCTTTTTCAGCTTACAATCTCACCTTTCGTCGCATCCTCTCCAGCTCTCCACAGCTCTGAAAAGCCACCCACAGCGTCGTCCACCCCCACCCCTCCACCTAATATACCACCCACACACCCTCTCCATCCCCGTCCCCCCCTTCAACCTAATCAAACAACCCAACACCCCCCTCCGCCACTCACTAAATCTCCGAAACCAGATGACCCCCGGCGCCGAATTCAACACCTACGCCGACTCCGTAGCCAGCGCGCGCGTCTTCGCCCTCACATCCGCGAACCCGCACCTCACCATGCCCCCCTCACTCTCAAACCCCCAGAAGAAAACCCAGCTACCGGCGTACCCAAAAACGCTCAGCAAGCGCCTAACCATCAAACTCTTCCCGCTCGACACAACAGAACTACACGTCCTGCCCAAAACCATGTACGAAGACTACATCGCCCTAAAACCCATCAAGGGTTCTCCATTATCTGAATGGACCAGCCTATTCCTGACCTCCACCTTCGCAAAAAACTCATCCCTGAACCCTCAACAAGATCCCACGAAATCCGGACTCCAACTCCACGACCCGCTGACGATCTGGTACGCTTTATGCCCCTCCAACCCGCTATGGAAGTTCAAAGAGGAGGATGTGAGGGTTGAGACGAGTGGGCAGTGGACTAGGGGGTGTACGATTGTGGATCGGAGGGGTAGACCGGTTACGGAGGGGGAGAGCAGTTTGGACGAGGAGGTTGTGGGGGATGCGGGGGGGTGGAGGGATAGCAGGAGGGGGAATCGGGTTGGGTGGTGTACGAGGAGTCCGGGGGAGGGCAAGTTTGCGAGGGTGCTTTTGCATAGGGTTTTGGGGGATGGGGAACAGTGGTAGGCTGGGAGTTGTGTGTGGGTTAGGTAGACGTGTGAAGTGTAGTTGCGGATAAGAGGAGCTGAGTGAGGAATGCCTATAACACGCCGCGCCACATGTCCCGGTTTCGGACTGAGACTAGACTTGGCACCCATCATTTTGCATCTTCTCACGGATCGATATTCCCAGCAGAGTCAGAGACAAGAAGCATATGTGCAAGCATCTCCAGCCCATACATCCACAAACTTGAACCCAGCAAAGCTTGCCACCCACCCGTCGGCTTACCCGCCATCACCCATCCATCCACCCGTACCCTCCTTACACAACGCCTCATCGGGCTAGATAGATAGCGAGAACACCGACAGGTGTACTACATATGTCGCAGCTGGGATGACCCGGTACGATGGATATTCTCCGAAGGAAAGAGGGGGGCTTGTGTAAGCTCTTGTATCGCCGTGATACGAAAACGGCGGTCATTCCGAGTGGTTCGCTTGGGGGTAGTTTGTGTCAGATATTCCGGGGAGAGGAGGAACGGGGAGGACACGAAGCGGTGGGCTGTTTTTCTGGGGGGTGGTACGGGGGTGGTTGGGCTTTGATGGACGCTTGTTTCTTGGTGTTGGGTTCGGTGGTATGAGGGATTTTGGGGAGAATAGAGGCTGGGTCAGTAGTCCTTTAAACAGAATACAGTGGAGGACTGCTAGGTGCATGTTCGTAAGTATTTTTCGAACAACACATCTTCCTCGACTAATCCTCCAACCATCCAAATATCTCTCTTCCTTAACCTAACCCATTACCCCCGTAAAACCCAGTCTAAATACCACGCCATCCCCCTCTCCTCATCTCCGTTCCCTCTACCCCCTTATGCCGTGCACCCATGCAGTCCGGCTCCACCTACTCCATCGGCAATCACAAGTGGGAAGCTAATTTCCGCCACCGGCACTTTCTCCGCTTCGTGCCATGTCGTACGGAGACGTTGTCGCGTTGCGTCATCTGCGTTGTGCGAAAAGGAAGGAGGAAGGAGGAAGGAGGATGGAGCTAGCTGGGGCTGAGTGGTTTGGGGGCGCTTGGGTGAATTGGGAACTGGGAACTAGGGAAAGAGAGGAGGAGCTTTTTTCTTTCAACAGGGTGGGAAGGTGTGTATTGTTTGGCTAGGCTACATGTCCGGATGAGTTCGTATTGGGGATGGGAGGAGAGTGGGTTCACCGCTGGTCTAGTGTTACCCAAAGAGCTGAGAGATCGTGATCAGCCCACCGCACCCCATATAAGGAGAATTCCGAAGAGGTCTGCAGCATACATCAAGGCGAGAATACGCAAAGTAGGCGACCTGACGTCAACGTAGGCTCTAGGGTGCTCAGTTCTTATTCCTTAGACATAATAACTGCAGAGATCCGATCAGACCCAAAAGGCTACAATAATCACTCGATTTCCGTATATTTGAGAGAGAGATGATGCCATTGTAGTCTCCTCACGTGTGAAATATAGCTCCAAATACCGCAATGCAACCGTCTTCACATGTTCCATAAAGGTTGAAAGTCCAGAGGACGAAGATAGATTAAAGCCAGACCTCTGTATACTAGGTCTGCCAAAGTTGAAGAGAAAGAACAGGATACGATCGAGGGTATATCTTGTGTGAATGCCTGCCGCAAAGGAAAGAGATACATGCTTAAGTGCCACCAGCTCCGTACGCGGTAGATGCAACTGCGAGGAAGGGAGAATCATGAAAACGTGCATTTGGGGGATGAGAAAGGTTTGTTCTGGCCCCTGGGAATATAATTCATGAACGAACGCAAATGCCAGCAAATGGCAAAAGGGGGGATGAAACGCCACCGCTGAGATGATGCAAAAGATGAACGCGGACTTTCCAATTCTTACTAATGTGGCCCGAAGGCTACGGCAACTTTATTTGAAACTCAGGTTGCTCCTATGCCCGCATGTCGTCATTGAGGGAAGCCACCCTGTTGTTGTTGGTGACTGGAAGGCATTCGCGAGGCGGTCCACGAGAACATGGCCATGTCGCAGATACGCGCAAGAACCTGCTGGGTAGATGCACGGCTCTCATGACTGATGAACGACATGGCGACACAAAGCTTATTCAAGTCGCTGTCTGGACTTTGGTCGACCTGAGGTGGTAGGGCGTTGGGGAAGCCACCAATGCGGCTACCGTAATGACGAGCGATCGCAATCGAGTAGATGGCATCGCGCACCTCGTGCATGCACAGGACGCCGCGTAGTACTGAAAGTGCGCCGTCGGCTGCTCCGGGCGGGGCAGTGTCTGAGCCCGAGAATTGGACAAAGTCTCCGAGATGTTGCCAGAAGTCGACTTGCGACCTCTTGACATCATCAAGCGTAGGGGGGTATGCCAATTGACGTGTGGGATTCGAGTCCAGATTTTGATTCGTCATAAGAGCTTCCAGCACGTCGAGACGCGCGCGGGTTTCTCTCATCGCAAAGTCTTCACCTTCTGGCTGTGCTCCGTTGGTGCTTGGAAGGTTCTGCTTGCACGTACTCAACAAGTGCCATAATAAGCGAGCCTCTTGACTAAAGACGCCGGTCATATCGGTGTCGGCGGTAGCCTTGTACTTGATGGTCTCGGTGAAGAAAGCGGCCTCTTCATGTAGGGAGCGGTCGCTGAAGACTCTGTTGAGAGCATTGTTGTTCGTCGAGAACCAGTTGGTCTCAAGTACGAGGTCGAGCCCTTGGCAGTAGTCGTTGATGAAGATGCGGCTGAACTCGTCGTCGATTTCCCGGGGTACCGGCGAGGTCCGCTGAGGAACCTCGGGCGGGCTGTGGTTGCAGATGCCAAAAATGTCTTGGATATTCAACCGCTTGCCTGAATCTGCGTTAGGACTGTGATGGCGATATGGAGCAGGATACCAACCTTTCATGGGCTCTGGCGGAGGCGGGTGGTAGCTGGCGCCTGGAGGCCCTCTCATGTTGGGATCCATGGGGTGCACGCCGTTGTAGTGTTGGGGTGGCTGTAGATTGGGATCGGCTTGCGCCAGTGCAGGGTCTATGGCGTGGAAGTTGCCTTGCTGATGTTCGCCACTCGTAGCAGGAGCGGCAGTCGCGTACCCCGCGGACGAGGCAGGCGCGTACCCTTGGGGTACCGGACTTTGACTGTAATTGGAGGAGGAAGGTGCGGGCGCCGGTGCGCTTGTCGCGTGGGGTGCGGGCGCGGAGTTGGGAGCAGGTTGTATTTGGGCGGGACCGGATTGCTGCTTGAAAATCGGGTCGTAACCCAAGCACTCTCGTTTGCTCTTCTGGCAGTTCCGGCACATGGGGTGGGCTTCGTCGCACTGTCGGGGTGGTGGTTAGCGCATGAGCAGGTGAGTAGTGATGTTGGTGCGCGATGCAGAAAATTTGCCAGAAATCGGCGCAGCTGTATTTGCAGCCCGCAACGGCGATGTTGCGAGGCAAAGTGCTGCAGCCCACTGAATAGCAGTGTTGCTGCACAGCCGGTCGCTTCTGACACGCGAGAGGTTGGATTAGAGGAGTTTGGGTTCCTCGCTCGGTTAAGCAAGCGACAAGCAATAGCTCCTCTGACATCGCGTCGCGTCTGCACCGCGTTCCATTGACGTATGCACTCACCTTTATTCTCCGTTTGCGACATGTCAGACAGCCAGTCTTGGTGCGACGCTTGATCTCCTTCTTGTGGCGACCACCAGACAGCACTCTCTGGTCGCCCTGCGGCGGCAGCTGGTATCGCATGGCATTGAATTGCGGGCCCATGTTGCCCATCATGGGCGGGCCTTGCTGCGCATGCGCTGGGTGCGGATAGTACTGCGGCATACCGTGCTGCGGCGGTGGGAGCGGAGAGCCCATGGGCTGGGGCGGCTGCTGAGGTTGCGCCTGGGGCTGCTGGCCGTCCTGCAGACGTATTGGCGGCAGATTGAGGGGCGGCAGCGACATGTTGGAGCCCTGGGGAGAGCTGCGGTAGCCATCGTTGCTCTGCTGGCCTTGGGGCGGCGGGTAGGTATACGTGGGCTGCATCGAGGGCGACGGGTACGAGTGCGGTGAGGGATAGGCGACGGCCTGCTGCTGGCGCGACTGCATGTTAGGATCGGCCATGCTCTGGTGGGAAAAGTGCGAAGGGGCCGGCGAGTAGGGCGCCTGGGAGATGTGGGTGGAAAAGTCGTGCGACATGGGCTAGCAATGGAGTCTGCCACCGGGGCGCTCTTCAGTTCTTGGGGATGTCTTGAAGAGCACGGCGGCGCTAGAAAGCTTGAGGCGGATGGGAAGAGGGACGGCAAGCCTGGCAAGGAACTGGGATTAGCTGAGTTGGCGAAGGCGTTATGACCCGCGGAACAGGGGCCTGGCCTCGCTCGGTTCGACGCCGCCGCGCTGCACGTAGTTGTGCGTGCACTACATAGATTGGGGATAACAAATACGTGAACGACTAACAAAGTCCAGGGAATGAAAGTGAGGAGGGCTAAACTATGATAGACGGTAGATGGGAAGGATGAGGGAGATGAAGACCTGGCATGCCAGCTGCCGCTCCCAGAAATGCATCGCGCGCGATATCCCTCACTCATCTCGTCCGTCTAGGAGGCAGCGAGTGGACTCAGTGGAGGGTGGGCTGCAGCTGGCTAGCCGCCTTTAGCAGGTAATGAGGGCGCATGTGGCAGTGCCATGAAGGAATCAACCGACTTTACTTACAAGCTGCCTACAAGCGAGTCTCGCTTGAGCGGAAGGTAGCGAACAGGGTACTGCTGTCCGACGGGCTAGCGACGCGCGACGATGAGCTGGCCGAGGAGAGCTTGGGCAGAGGAGCACTTCTAGCGACGAGAGGGCGGCAGGCCGATGCAGCCAGAGCAATCGGGCATTTCTTCAGCAAAAGGCTAAAGGCGCAGACCGCTCCCCAGCGCAAAAAGAACTTCAGCGTGCCAGGGCCACTAGCCTGCATCGGGCCAATCACGTGCCGCTCTGCGCTGCGCACTGGGGCCCGCCACACTGTTCTTCCTGCAATCAGCGTCGTCCCGTCCGCTGCTGCACCTCTCTATTGCCCATTACCCAAGTACCTTACTGAGCCGAGCCTCGTGCGGCGTGCAGCGACATTCTGACCCGCTTAGACACACCATGCAGCCGCCCATGCCACCCACACTGCACCGTTTGCGTTGCTCAACCCTCATCCGACGGACTGGCAGAATTTGATTAAGGCTGATTGCGCAGTACCTGGGTCCCGGTCCAGCCGGCGCGAGCGGCATCTCTTCGAGAACACCTCCCTCTTGCACCCTCTGCACCCTCACTGCTCGCTTAGCTATCGGTGGCTTGCTCCTGCATCGTCACGACGAACCATTCTGTGCCTGCTTGCACATCTCTGATGCCGCGTATTCTTAGCCTGCCCTTATTTCACTGCCCATTTCAGTGCGCAATGGCCCCGCAGCGTCCTCGCCATGACCCTTTGCTCCCACTGCGGGTGACGTATGTAGCTCCCGATGTGACAATCGTGCAATGGTGCGCTGTCCAACGATCAAGCACACGAGCATTCGATCTCCAGACTGCGTCTTACGGGCCGGTTTCCCTTCCAGGGTGGCCAGCGGCGCGCCTCGTCCTATCTAAAGCGCGCGCTGACATCAACTTCCGCCTGTCCAATTCAATCTCCCTGCCTATTTACCCGCAATGGGCATATCGCAAGGGCGGCTTCCATTGCCAGCCACAACGCCGTATCTGAAGACATCTGGCGGAATCCTCCATGGGTTATCTGCGGGTAAATAAACGCATATCGGGTTAAGCCATTGCCTGCTAGAGCTGAGTGTGACCAACCTGTAGGAGGTGCATCACCGGCAAGACTTGTCCTTCCGTCTGGGTAGCACTAGGAGGCCGCCAACACGTGTCGAGATATCTACTGGACACCTCACCATTGTCGCCGAACAACCTTCGCGCCAAACAAGCTGGTTGGACTTTGCGATGCGACAGGCGATGCGACAGGCGATACTGCATTGCGAATCCCTTGTCCAGTGTTGCACAAGCAAAGACCCTGGTCCTAGGGCCGCTACCAGCGCGCGCGCAGGGAAGTCTGCACTCGGTGCGACCAAGAACACAGCGCCAGAGAAGCCTGTGGAACACTGCTAATTGTCGTTCGTTCGCAAAGTGTCTTTCGCGGGCGCCCGCTGAGACATGGTAAGATCTCGTCTATCGCAGTGCACAGAAAAGCCAGGTCAGGGATACCCCCGCACACGAAAGCATCGAACGCTTCTCGAACAAAGTTGAACGCCAACCGAGCGAGCTTTGCGCATCATCCTTCCGCCCCGCTCTCGCCTACAGACCGCCTGAAGCGACAGGTGTCTTGATCATCGCTGCAATACGAGATGCATCGGGCTTTGCAAGGGATGGATTTCTCCCTTGTTCAACTGAATCTCGCAGAATAACTTTTTGTCTTGTTATGCCTGATCCCACAACAATGGCTGAGTCATGCGGTGACCACTTCTTACCCAAAGCTGCAGACCCTGAATAAGTTCACGCCATTGAGTTCACACTAAATATTGCTGTCGCGAACCGACTCGGCTTTACCCTGGAGTATCCCAGAATCTTGAGTAGGGATAGTCAGCAGCACAGACGTCGGCCAAGCGATATCCACGGTGTAGGAATCGGCGCGTTGCTCGTTCATTCCATGATCATGGTCGCGCACATATGACCATCTCGACACCAACTCCAAGTTGTGTGAACCCGAGTCGTCTCGAACACCGACAATATCCGTAGCTCAAAGACATTGGGAAACTCAAAACTCCCGCGGTTCATTAATATCGTTCTGACCCGCCAGTACTACACGTGTGCAAGAACCAGGCAACAGCTTTTCTGAGTGACGGAGAGCCACATTGTAAGTATGGCGATTCCACACGCGGCGACGATATGATGGGCAACCACAGTTTGAACATGCAATGGAAAACCATGGTTTGTGGTGCATCCAAAGAGTCATGGATTTAAGGGTCGTCGTGCATGCGAGAGCGCTGAGAGGCAAGCTTAGCGTATGGAAAGGGCTGATGTTATCATCGCAAGAGTTGGGAACCAAGGTGGGTGAACACAAACTACTGTGTCTACTTCGATGTGTAGGGACCTCGTAAGTTCTGACTGGCACGCATCTCTCCAATATGATTTTCTTGATTCGCCCTTTTTTTGTGGTACTTTGGTTGTCGTGGCCTCCACCTTCAGGCTGCCATTTCGGTACCGTGGGACGCACCACAGCAGACTTATACAAAATAAGGGGACACCCTCTATCTTGTACTTTCTCATATCGTCGCGCAGTCTCCATCTTGTGCGCACTGTCTACCGTTTTCCCAACCGGCACTCCACCCCAACTCTTTCAGCTCGTCTAACTCCCATACATACCAATGGTCAACATGGCCACAACACTAGACCAACAAAAAGAGGCCGCATACACCCTGCTCTCTGGTATGCTCACAAGCGTTCTACAAAAAGAGTGGAAAATAACAGACCGCCATTCGTCACAGTCCGCCCTCCTCGACGCACTCCTCCCCAAGCCAGCCCCGGTCACAGCCCCAGCTCCCATCGCCCCCATAAAGGTTCAGAAACAAAGCATCTTCCGCCTAGGCAACAGGACATTCGACCTCGGCCCCGAACACGACTCCTCCGCCAGTTCCTCCGACGATGATGGTGACGCTCCGATCCGGAGTGCGCGTCAGCTTAAGAGCGAGATGCGCAGGGTTAATGCGATTCAGAGGCGTGCGAAGAGGAGGGCGGAGAGGGGGAGGAGGAGGATTGAGAAACATCTTGGTGGGAATGAGGGTGTTGTCGACTTTGAGACCTTGAAGAAGGTAGAGGTAACACTACCTCTGAAGACTACACAGAGGGCTGCGGAAACCCCGGTGAGGATGTTGAAGGAGCTGGAGGACTACAATAGTCCTGCAAGGAGTAGTCTGCTTAGCGATGCGCCCATGTCGCCGCGAAGTGCTGAGTTCAGTTCGACGGCTAGCGAGGCCAACTGCGAGGTTGCCGAATACGATGGCGTCGACAGTCCCATATCGGAACCCGTACAGGCACCCGGGCGACTACGAGGCTGCTCCTGCAAAGCCTGCGACTTCACAACCCAATACTACCACAGCTGGACACGCCATTTCCGGGGCGTAATGCACATGGAAAAAGTAGCCAAGAGCACACAACGCAAAGGCCCGAACATCAAGTTCGTCAAGAAGGCAGCGAAGAGCCTACAAAGCCCGGGATCAGTCGGGAAGGATGTGAACAAGGCGCCCGGGAAGCTATGTGCGACTGAGCAATATTGCGATGCCTGTGATCGTGTTTTGCTCAAGTGCCATTGGAAGCGTCACGCGGTCTCTGCGATGCACGCAATCAATGTCAAGAACATGCTGAAGAGGGACATGCTCACGCGAGGTTCGAAGGTACCGGAGCATTATTGTAAAGAGTGCGATCGGGGGTTTCTTTCGGCTAATTGGGGGGGCCATTTGAAGGCGCGGGCGTATTTGGCTAATTTGGCCAAGGCCAAAGAGGAGGAAGAGAGTGTGAGGCTTCACGCCCCGACACCGGAGTCCGTGGTGCTGTCCGTAGAAGAGGAAGAGCAGAAAGAAGAAGAAGAGGAAGAGTATGAGGATGACGGCTTCGGGGAAGAAGGCCACGAAGACTACGGTCACTACTGCGATGACTGCGACGTCACTTATGCTGGTGCGAAATGGGCGCGGCATTTGACTTCGGCAGGCCACGTCTTTAATGTTTTACGGAATACGCAGGGCGATGAGAGTATGGCGTCCGACGACGATGATGAGGAGGAAGAGGAGGAAAGCATGGCAGACTATGATTCTGCCACTGATGGGGAGAGCATCGTGTATGATGATACGACGGATGAGGATTCTGCGTCGCCATCGCCCTCGCCATCGATCTCACTCTCGCCCTCACCTTCCTCCGCCGTCCCCAAAGAGGGAATCACATTCCCCCACGACGGGACACCGGTTGCCGACCTCGCCTCGCCTCCCTCCCTCACAACTTCGCCGACCTCCCCCGCTTCCCCCGCTTCCTCGTCTCCTTTCACTCCCGCTAGCGATGAATTCCCTTCGGAAGAGGATTTCTACTGCGAGACCTGCAATGTTACCATCTTGTCTGCGGAAGACTGGGAGATTGATGAGCATGTGGCTGATCATGCGTATGAGATGGGTAAGGAGGATGAGGTGGTGCAAGGAGATTGGCTGAGTCAGCTGAGGGAGGCTGCTGGGCTGGCGAAGGATGTGGAGGTGAAGGATGTGGAGGAGGTTGAGGAGATGGAGGGGGTAGAGGAAGTGCAGCAGGGTAGCATGGAATGTGAATACAATGGGTGGGCATGGAGAATGTGGCTGGATGGTAAGGTGCTCGGGAGTATACGGCGCAGTCCGTCTTGTTGAAGAGGGAGTGTGGGTTGGTATGTATCCGCCAGGATACCTTCTAAATTTGTGTAACTTGCAGAGGAGCGTTGGTGTCGTCTACTGAGATATTCTCAGCATCGTATTTGCACCATGATACAAACACAACTTGATGAGCATAACCATATTGAATTTCCAACTATCTGACTATCCCTGCAACGTCCCAACGTATAGGTATCGAGGAGTATCCCACAATGAAACGCCGCCCAATGCACTCGCACTCACTGCAATGCCACGAAAACGCCATATATGCTGACCAGATACCATATTACCCCCACAACCATAACAACTAAGACGACCAACTAAGTATCCGTCTTGGGCTTCTTGTTCGGCAGCGCCGGCACCTTGAAACCACCAGCATCCACCTTCGAGCTACCGTTGAGCTGCGTGAAAGATCCACCCTTGAACCATCTATCCTCGTCTGCCTTCCTCTTACGGTTGGCTTCCTCTCGCGCCTTGGGATCAACCAACTCGAGACCTTGGACAGGTGTGAACGCGATGGAGTTTGTTCCCGCACCACCAAGACCCACACCACCAGTCCGTAGACCCTGGGCACGTAGACTGGTCGCCGTACCGCTCCCGCCAAAGCCTTTGAGAGACGAAGCTGCACCGAGAGTGGTGTCTGTGCCCCAGCCAGGGTTCTTCTTGCTGAGTTTGGCGCGCGTCTTGGGGTCGATTTGTTGCGCGCGGAGTCGTCCGGTGTCTGTGGCTCCGATCATGCCCATGCCTGCTACGGAGTCGCCATATCCGACTTCCTTTTCTTCTTTGCCGAAAGTCATCCGGTTTTGGGCCTTGCGTATCTCGGTCATCGCTGTTGCTTCCTTGGCCTTACGGGCTCGCCTTCCACCTCTCTTGCGGGACGGCTTCTCATCGGGTACGGGAAGGGCCCTTCCTCCGGCCTTTTGGTTCGCTGGCATCTCCACCAACTTGTCCAACCGACGCTCACACTCTTTCCTCAGGTCCATACCTATATCGGCAGTGCCGGAGTTGGAATGGGCGTCCACACGCGCGGCGAGAATGACCTTAGCCGCAACAATACGTAGCGCCTGCTTCCTGAGGTCTGGCCTTTGGTTCTGGATAATGTCGCTGTGGTACAGGTAACCCTCGTGCCTCAGACCCATGTTCGAAAGTCCGACGGTAGCTCCTGAGACTTTGGTCGAACCTAGAGGTGCGATATTGCAAGCGGGAGTCTTGGCTAGGTTCGCGATACCGCCCGAGTATGAGATGAGATGAGCAGCCGTCAAACTACCAATCAAGGCAGTCAGGTTGGGCGCAAACAATTCAGTTCTGGATTCAACGAAGCCCAGAATCTTGGACTTGGCGGCGTGTAGCTCGAGCAGCAGATGGCATGCGTTTGACACCAGGTCCAGCTCGGATTGTTCAAGGAGTCTCCCTTCCACACGTGTGGCTTCAATCTCGACAATCATGACCTGGGCAGGTTCCATTCCTTCGATTTGCCTCAGCTTGGGGCTGATGTCTTTGATGCTTGACAAAGGTCCGCCACCGATAACCAAACATGCTTTGGCGTAGACGACAGGGTTCTTGATCAGATCCTCCAAATGGGGGAAGAAGGCCGAATAGTGGTCGCGAATGAACTTGTGAACGCTAGCAGTCTCGCCATCGATCTGTGTGGAGAACTCGTTGGCTTCAGTGAGGAGTTGGTACTCCGGAGATTCCTCAAACGATTCGCCCTCGACTATGTCCATCTGGTCCTTAGCCTCTTCGATGCGCTTGAGGACGGGGTCCAGGTTGGTCTTGAGCTGCTGCGCGGATCGAATGTCGGCTGGGCCCTTGTTGTCCTTGTCCTTGTCCTGCTGCTTCTCGCGATATTGCGCCTCCTCGTCGACCATCTCATCGTCGTCGCCAGAACCCTCGGCGAAGTCATTCTCCAGATCCTGAACATCCTCATCACCACTGTCTGCGAAGTCCGCGAGGAGCTCTTGCTCGAGAGTCGCCATGGCAGAATGTAGGCTGGGGGTATTCGGGGGATGTGCGGGTGAGCGTCGCTACCAGGCAATAGCAGTTGGGGGATCGAGGAAGTCGCGACGGCGGCCAGAGGTTACCCTCCTAGTGGATATCGGTTGAGTGCTGAGTTCGGGATCGTTGGTATACTACGTACCTGTTGCCTGGGATGGCCGCCGGTCGAGTTGTGAATGCGCGCGGGTGAGTGTCGTGGGCAGAGAGAAGTTGCGACGGCAGTGACGTGAAAGTGCTAATTGCTTGGCGTGCAACGGATAAAAGTTGCGCTAAGACAGTCGCGTTCTCACGTTACAGAATAATCTTGTCGCATCGCAGAACGACGACCTACATACGACAATCGCTCTCGCCAAGCTATCGTACCGTAGTCGTACTGCGTAGGCATCCGCGATCACGTGTTCGGCGGTTCGAGCGATCCGGACCAACCTTTGGAGCTCTGTTACGCCGACACGACCCAGGCGCGACAGCCTTCACGACCAACGTGCGCCTCGTTCGCTATCACCATCGCGCGCATACCACTACCTCCCATATAGAGCCCTCGATCATCATATTCGAACGCCAACATGGAGGCCTCACGAGGACCCCCGCGGGTCAAGAACAAGGCCGCGGCGGCCGTCCAGATCTCTGCCGAACAATTGCTGAGGGAAGCCGTCGACCGTCAAGATGAGAAGCTCAAGGCGCCAACGCAGCGCTTCGCCGACATCGAGGAGCTGCATGAGTTCCAGGGGAGGAAGAGGAAGGAGTTTGAGGACTATGTGCGGCGGAACCGCATCAACATGAACAACTGGATGCGCTATGCTTCCTGGGAGCTGGAGCAGAAGGAATTTCGACGTGCCCGCTCCATCTTCGAACGAGCTCTCGATGTCGACTCAACGTCCGTCCCGTTGTGGCTGCGATACATTGAGAGTGAGATGAAGCACCGCAACGTCCAGCATGCCCGTAATCTTCTCGACCGCGCCGTTACCATTCTTCCGCGAGTCGACAAGCTATGGTACAAGTATGTCTACATGGAGGAGACGCTCGGCAACATCGACGGAGCTCGCTCGGTCTTCGAACGCTGGATGCAGTGGGAGCCTGAGGAGGCGGCATGGAGCTCATACATCAAGCTGGAGAAGAGACACGGCGAATTTGAGAGATGCCGGGCAATCTTCGAGCGCTTTACGGTCGTTCATCCAGAACCCAAGAACTGGATCAAATGGGCCAAGTTTGAGGAGGAGAACGGCACCAGCGACCTCGTGCGCGATGTCTACGGTACCGCCGTGACAACACTGGGAGACGACTTCATGGATGAGAAACTTTTCATGGCATACGCGAGGTTCGAGGCAAGACTCAAAGAGCTGGAACGTGCCCGAGCTATCTACAAGTTCGCCCTTGATCGTATGCCACGATCGAAATCGGTTAACCTACACAAAGCCTTCACAACCTTCGAGAAGCAGTACGGAGACCGAGACGGTATCGAAGACGTAATCCTGTCGAAACGACGTGTACACTACGAGGAGCAAATCAAAGAGAACCCCAAGAACTACGACAGCTGGATCGATTTTGCCCGACTGGAAGAGACGTCTGGCAACCCCGACCGAGTTCGAGACATATACGAGCGAGCGATCGCCCAGATACCACCCACACAGGAGAAGCGCCACTGGAGACGGTACATATATCTTTGGCTGTTCTACGCAGTCTGGGAGGAGACAGTTTCGCACGACATCGAGCGAACCCGTCAAATCTACCAAGAGTGTATACGTTTGCTACCACACAAGCGCTTCACATTCGCCAAAGTATGGCTGGCTTTTGCGCACTTCCTGGTGCGACAAGGAGAGCTCACCGCTGCACGTAAGCTGCTGGGTCAAAGTTTGGGCATGTGTCCAAAGGACAAGCTCTTCAAGGGCTACATTGAACTGGAGATGAAGCTCTTCGAGTTCAACCGCTGTCGGCAGCTTTACACAAAGTACATTGAGTGGAATGGCTCGAACTGCCATACATGGATCAACTTCGCCAACCTGGAGCGTGGTCTCGATGATCTTGACCGTGCGCGAAGCATTTTTGAAATCGCGGTAGATACTCAGGAGATGGACATGCCGGAAGTCCTGTGGAAAGCATATATCGACTTCGAAGAAGAAGAAGGCGAATACGGCCGCACACGCGCACTCTACGAGCGCCTCCTCGAAAAGACCGACCACGTCAAAGTCTGGCTCTCCTACGCCCAATTCGAACTCGGCGTCCCCGACGAAACCACCCCCGAAGACGACGAAACAATCAGCGAGCTCGCCAAATCCCGCGCTCGCGAAGTCTTCACTCGCGCGCACACCCGACTCAAAGAGAAGGACCTCAAAGAAGACCGCGTGGCACTCCTCAGTGCTTGGAAAGCATTTGAAGACGTTCACGGAACAGCAGAGGACAAGGACAAGATCGAGAAACAGATGCCCCGCAAGGTCAAGAAGAGGAGAAAGTTGGACGACGACAGTTTCGAGGAGTATGTCGATTATGTTTTCCCGGCCGACGACGAGAGTGCTGCGAAGTTGGCGAAGCTCATGGCGAATGCGCAGAGGTGGAAGATGGCGCAGGCTGCAAAGGCGGCTGCGGAAGAAAATGGGGATGGTGCGGAGGGCAATGGCGAATGAGGAGATTTGTGGTGTTTGGTTTGGACTGTGTGCGTAAAGTAGAGGGAATCAACATTGCATGCAGGCCAACAGTTATCAGCTACTTTGTCATGTTAAGAATGACTCAATATACAACGAATCTGGTATGCATATGTCGAAGATTTCCAATCCCAAAAGCGTTGCCCTAATCATTTGGCTCCATCATGCTCATGCAGGCGTAAAGCCAATGACGTCGTGTAGCTCCAATGGGAATTGCCTCGGCATCTTCCCCGGATTCTGCAACCTCCGCATCGAACTCCGCAAGTCTACTACCCGTTTAATCCTTTCATAACACGTCGCGACTTTGAACCTTGTACTCATTACGTTGCGACAGACTTCATATATGATCCCGAGACTCTAAGGAAGCTTTCATGATGCCGACTGCAGTCGCGAAGGTCCAGCGACAGGGTGTGAGCAAAGAGCTCTCTGAGCCTCTACCCGAGCCTGAGAGTTTTGAGGGATTGAAGGGAGTCAGAGAGATCGCGGGGGACCTGGGCAACCAGTGAGTATGGGGAAAGCCCGTAAAGCCGTAGTTGAATGCGCTTGTGCTAACGATAAGCAGACGCGTCAAAGACAAGGTCATCATCGTTACCGGTATGCCCGTCAAGCCCAGCATCCCCCATACAAAGACAACGTCTAACAGCATCATTAGGTGCGAACTCAGAGATAGGCATCGGCCGCGCAAGCGCACATCAATTCGCGCGCAACGGCGCCCGCGCAATCTACGTCTGCGACTTCGCTGACAACCACCTCGAGACACACAAGCGCCAACTCAACACCCTATACCCCTCCACCGAGGTCCACATCCGGCAATTCGATGCCGCAGACGAAGCATCCGTACAAAAGGTCTGCCAAGAAGCCCTAGACACCTACGGCCGCCTCGACGTCTTCTTCGCCAACGCAGGAATCTCATCCGGCAAAGTATTTTGGGAGGAGTCCACAGAAGGCTTCATGAACGTCCTGCGCACAAACGCCCTATCTGTCTTCCTCGCCGCAAAACACGCATCGCGCGCTATGCTTAAGACCTCGGACGAGAAACCATACCCAAAGGGCAGCATCATCGCCACAGCAAGCGTAGCAGGTCTCCGCTCCAACGCCGGACCAACAGACTACTCCGCATCCAAAGCCGCAGTCATCAGTCTGATGCAGACATGCGCATACCAACTCGCCGGCTCCGGCATCAGGTGCAACGCTGTTTGCCCCGGGCTGATCGAAACGGGGATGACCAGGGTCACGTACGACGCGGCGAGGAAGAGGGGTAGCGAGAAGAAGATTGGTCAGTTGAACCCGCTGCAAAGAGGAGGGCAGCCGGATGAGATTGCGAGGGCGGTGCTGTTCCTGGCTAGTGATGAGGCTAGCTATGTTAATGCGCAGGCTTGGGCTGTGGATGGGGGGTTGAGTGGGGGTCTTCCTTTTGTACCGGGGAAGTTGGCGTAGGTATGAAAAGAGTGTGCGAGGGTCCTGGCACGAGAGATTGTGGCAGTGATCTATGTCTGAAGGTATCATTGCGATTTCTCTCGACGTAAATCGCGATGATTCCTTCGGGCATAGATCACTGACACAATCATGCGATACCTGGGTGAAATAGGGAAATATTACGCAGGCTCCTCGCGCCAGTACACTCGAAACTTGTTACTGACATGCGCATTAATGGCTGCAGACTGTTTCTGTTCACGTGTCGTTACACTATCAAAACCCTTCATTTATTGCTCAGCCAGCCAAGACCCTGTGCTTACGAACACACATCCAACGACCAGCCGCGACGTCCCTGGATCCATAGTATGCAGGTACCCTCCAGTCCCAACAAAACAAAAAGCGTGGTATTAGTATGATGTATGCGAACCATGGTTTGGCTCAGGGTAACCGAAGCATTTACACATGAATAATTCGGACCCTTTCTCCTCTCCCCATCTTCTTGCACTTCATCTCATCACTTGATCATCTCCTACATTCAAGGAACAATAAGGCATCCAGCTCCAACAAAGACACTTTTACACAACAAAACTACTCGCCAACGGAAACATGGCGGAGATACCAAGCATGGTCTCAGAAGTCCCGGGCATGATCCAAGACCCCTCCTCCGAACTCCCATCATTCCCACCCACACGCCGAGCCACAGTTTCCGGTCGTCGATCGCCATCACAACCAGCCCCAACTATCTACCTCAGAGGCTTCAACTGCGTTGCTAGCGATCCAGAGTACCACCTCGCACGAAATGTAACTGGAAACGTGCAGCCGTACTGGTTTGAAGAAACGCGGAGTCCTGCGGTCCACTATGGCCCCTCTCGAAGACAGAGAAGAGGAAATGCGACGCGACGAGCTGTTCAGGTCGAAGACACTTATCTCGTCATTCCCAACACTGAGGAAGCTAAGCAGTCGGACAACAACAAGATGCAGCGAGAAGAGGCAAAAGAAGCATTCCTAGAAGCCATGTGGCCAACAATCCGCGATGAATACCTCGCCATGTTCAATATGACAAGCCTCGCGCCAAAGCAAGAGAAACGGATGAAGGACGACACCATGCTGTTTCTGGAGGAGGAGTGGAATATCCTGGAGGAAGAGCGTAGGGCTGAGGACGGAGAGATTGAGAAGCAAGAGGAGGAGCAGCGTAAGCCTATCGTTCGCTTGCCGGTTCGCAATCTTTCAGATGATCTGGGGGCATCGGAGAAGAAGTTCAAGATGAAGGGGAAGGGGAAGGGAGAGGTGAAGGTGGAAGACGGAAGTGGGGCGGAGACGAAGGGGAAAAACAAGGGGAGCCTCTCGCAGAGGCTGAGGAAGGTTCTGCATTTGACTCCGAGGCCGGTGGTGGCGAAAGATGGGGTTGTGAAGCCTCCGTTTCATCCGATATTGTGAGGTGGACATGGTGACCAGTCTCGACGCAATACCAATTATGGTACTATAGTGGCTGCCAGGGCATAGTATTAGACTCGAGCACGTCGCTAGAGACAAAAATGGCAATTTATGAACTCCATAATCAATAAGGCCAGTTCGTCTACTTCCTCCCATGGTACTGCAGCGATGCCGAGTAGACGAGCCACTCACGACTTCCGAGTTGCATATCACACCCATTTGCCTAGACCCTCTTTGACAACGAGTATCATTATTTCAACAATTGAGCAGCCGAATGTGTGAAAACTTCGCTTGATGTTGACGGATTTCGCGAAGCACGTTGTGCGCAAGTGCTCTTTCTCCGACACGCCAAACTGCCTTCCAAGTTCACCACTCCCCGTGACTATCTCAATCCACATTCACCACGACAACCAGCTCCGCCGCCACATTCGTATTCGGCCAACTCTCACTTTGAGCTATGACCGCGCAAACATTTTTACCTTGAGCTTCTCTCACTTCTGCGCCTACCAATATTTCTCCCACACACCGGCTCACCACGACCACCACAACAGCCATGGAGAGTCGCCAACCACTCCCCGAGCGCCCCAGCTCAAACGACTACATCGACGAAACACAATTGTCGTTCAACGCACTCGAGGCGCAGAGATGGGATCGCGCATTGGAGAGCTCGCAGCGCGCACTCAACCAGTCGATGAACTTACCCTCCTTTCAGGACCTTTGTAGCTACAGCGCACCCATTCGGGGCCGAGATTTTCAAGGGAGTCCAGCCTGGTCTGACGGCTCTATGAGCGGTGGCCTAGGTGAGGACACTTTCCAGTCTCCTTCTAGCGACAGGACTGTTAAGTTGAGCAGCGGCTACAAGGAACTCGAAGACAGCAGTAACTCTACCTTCTTTCCGACGCCTTTCACCGTCGCCGCGACATCAGAGACGGGTGCTACGAATGGCTCCGCGTCTTCAGGTTCTGATATCTCACCGTTGTCTCAGCGCCAGTCCTTCGCCGGCGTCGCGGTCGAGTCACCTTTTCGACCTGAGTTCGGCGGTCCGGTCCAGGCTCCCCCCAGCCACGGCATGAGGTGGTCTCCTGCGCAGCTACAGAAAGAGATCTCACGCAACTCTGACAACTTCTATTCCCACCCCAGCATATCCAAGACTCAGGTTCCCTCCCGTCCGCAGTCAACATTCCCCATCCCACGAAACATGCCTTTCGAGGAGATGATCGTACCGCGCGGACCGAACCTGCATCAACGAAGACTCGATGCAAGAGTATCAAGCTCACCGGGTATGCCGTCGCCGCTGGGTCCTGGACGTATGCGAGAGCAGCTCCACGAGGGAGACGTGGGAAATGTGTCGCTCTCACCGGTCCCGAACGGCCGTCTCCACACGAGCGATAAGATGAAGTACGGGAAGACCAAGTCAAGCAACAAGGATACAAAGAACGCCTGGCAGAACACCCCGTCTCCACATTCACCTACCGTGCAGCGCTACGCATCCAGCGGCTCGATCGCCTCGCCCATGTTCGACGTATACCCGCGAAGCGCTGAGATAGACGGCGAAGGAAACTTGACCTTGGATGGCTCGCCGTACAGTAACGGTTCTGGACATGCGAGGAAGCACACTGATCCTTTTGTCGACCATATGCCGTTTCAGGTCAGCACTGGGTCTACGACTCGTATGTGTGGAGTTGGTGCGCTACCGACTGGCACTCGTCCGCCGCCTGTTCATCCTAGCATGTATGAAGTTCTTCAGAAGAACCCGGCTGGCATTCAGATGTGTGGAAGTAACAGTGGGATTAGCTGGGACCCCCGATCTCCAGAGTTCGTGGGCATGGTATCTGCTGATCGCTTACGTGGTAGTAACAGTGGAATGAGCTTCAAGCCCTACGGTCCACCATCCGGGTTTGTTAATGTTCGGATGGGTGAAACTCAGGCCTTCCATCGCCCGTCAAGTGTCATTGTGTGTGGAGCTCCTTCACCCATACCATCGCCATCCGAGACTCGCATGAGCAGCGGTTTCAAGCCCTTCATGCCCTCACTTCCCTTTGGGCCCATCGTACCCTCATCTCAGTCGTTCGGCCAACCGCTTCGTACATCATCTACCGCAACATGGCCCACCTCCGCGCCCGCGACATCCGGCTTCGCCACCCCAGCCTCTACAGAAGACTCTCACTCCGCCCATGAACCAACCTTCCAAGCCCGTCTACCCCTCCGCTCAAACCTACCCATCCCACCTCCCCCACTCTCCACCATCGAAGGCCAGTTCGAGCAGTCCCCTGAAGGCCGCACCCGTCTCGACGCGCAGAAGCCCGTCCGCTCAGCCTGGATCCGCGGCGAAGCGTCCAAGATAGCCCAGCTAGCAAAACTTCGCCACGCAATGGAGAAGCGGTATGAGGAAACCCGTTCCGACGCCGACTACTCAGCCTGGCAAACTCTCCAAGCCGCCTACGACGACGCTACGAACCTGGAGAAGAGGCAGGAAGAGAGGCGGAACCTTTTTCTTAGAGAGAAGAAGATGGAGGCGTTGAAGACCGATAAGACGGAGGATATGTCTGCCGCGAGCCGTGGTGGTATTAAGGTGGAGGGGGAGGGGGAGGAGAAGTTGCTGGGGTATAAGATGGCGTTTATGGAGCGTGTGTGTGCGGAGGTTAAGCCTGAGGAGGATGAGGCGGCTATTACTGGTGAGATGTTGGCGACGTTGAGTAAGGAGGAGAAGAAGGCTATTCGGAAGCTGCTCGTTGGTCGTATGGAGCGCATGGCTTGATTGGTGTGAGTGGTCTGGTCGTTGAGCTTTTCGCAGGAGTGGAGCGTACCGAGAGAGGGATGTGGAGGTTGAGATCTTGTGTGTAGACGAGAACTTGCTACTGTGGTGTGCCACTGAAGGAATGAAATGATGTATACATCACCTACACATCTTTATGCCGCACCACCGGCCATGATCTTCTTCCCCTTGACACTCTTCTGCTCCATACCCAGACTAACAAAGAAAGCCACACTACTCGTCGCAATCGCCAATATGAACGCCGTGACAATCGCATTATTGTATCCATGCAGTACCCCCGGCAGTATCTCCGCAGGCACAACATTCCTCAAATTCGTCGCCCCAGCATTCGCCACGATGCGCGCATCAAACCCCAGCGCATACCTCGGCACCTCCTTCGCCAGCGTATTAACAAAGATATTCTGCGCAATACTTATCGACAACGCGCCACCCAGCGAATTAAAAAACATGACGCAAGCATTCGCCGTAGGCATATCCGTCTCGTTCGTAACAACCTGCACAGCGACGAACGGGATTTGTACACCGGCTCCTGCGCCGATACCCGCGAGGATCTGATAGCCGATCCATTGGCCGGGTGGGGAGTGGACGGTGAGGGTGTAGAGCATGCCGGCGCCGATGGCGAAGATGGCGCTGCCGAACCACATGAAGGGGGCGTACCAGCCGACGAGGGTGATGAGGCCGCCGATGACGATTGAGGAGATGGTTATGCTGACTAGGTAGGCGATGGTGCGGATGCCGGATTCTTCGGCGGTGGTGCCTTTGATGGCTTGGAAGTAGAAGGGGAGGTAGAAGATGTGGCTGGTTGGGTGTTAGGGGATAGCTTGTAGGAGTGGATGATGGATGGGGGTAGGACTTACGTGTACAAAGCCATTGATAGTAATGTTGAGTACAAACAACTGACCAGCACTGTTCGCTGCGTAAACACGCGAACGGGTATCGTTGCCCGATCTCCCTTGCGCATCTGCAAGCCGATGAAGACAGAGATTAGCAGTCCGAAGCCTAGTAATGTCCCCCAAACCTTCGAGTCACTCCACGCGTAACTGAACCCACCCCACTGCAGACACAACAGCAAACAAACAATCGCACAGATCAAGAACACAGCCCCCACGATGTCAATATTCTTCAGCCGCTGCCTCACCGGTAGATGCGAGTACATCCTCTTCGGATTCGTAAAGAAGAAGAACACGACACCCAGGCTCACAGCACCAAACGGAAGGTTAATCCAAAAGCACCACCTCCACGACGCCCGATCCGTAAGCGCACCCCCGAGTATAGGCCCAACAACCGACGCAATACCAAACATACTCGACAGCGCCGCAATATAAATAGCCCTCTTCCTCAACTCGACCGAAAACCCAATAATCGTCATCCCCCCCGAATACAACGCCGCGGCCCCCGCACCCGCAACCGCCCTCCCCACAATAAACATCGCCGAACTAGTTGCTGCGGCACAAATGACACTGCCCACCTCAAACAGGATCAAAGCAGACAGATACGTGTATTTGACATCGAAGTAGGTATACACTTTCCCGAAAGAGGGCTGGAGGGATGTGGTGGTGAGGAGGTAGGAGGATCCGTACCAGCCTACATCTTCGAGGCTGTTGAAGACGGTGGTGATGCGGGGGATTGCGGTTGCGATTATGGTGTTGTCGAGGGCGATTACGAAGGTGGTTAGGCAGAGGCCGAGGGTTAGGATGGCGAGTTTGGGGCCGGAGAGGTATTGTGATTCGGAGGAGGGGGTGGTGTCTTCGGGGGTTGTGTCATCGGCAGTCTTTTCCTTTGCGATGACTTCTGCTGTGCTCTTCTCTTTATCTGGGTGTGAGGGGTCGGTGGTGTTTGGTGATGATACTAGGGGTGGCGTGGTCTTTTCTGGATCGCGGGTATGTGTCTGGTCGGTCGTGTCATCATTCGCGGACGCATTCTCGAAATGCTCCTTTGGTTCTTCCAATCTCGGTTCAGAACGTCCAGGTACTTGTGCAGTCTCATCAATCGTGCTTGCGCCATCCGCCATCTTCGTAGTATCGGTCGCCTGCATGCCGGCAGCGGGCGCGGCTCAACACAGGGAGGACTTGCCGTCTGCGGGCCGCTGTAAACTATGTGGAACCTGTCAACGGGTATCTAGTGTATCGAATCAAACAATTTCGCGGCAGTGGCATGTAAGTCGCACAGGATACCGCGCCGTCGTTGCAAAGTGAGGCGAATGCAGCAAGGAGCAGAGGCTTCGAAAAGAAGCATCAGCGCAAACCTTTTGTTTCCATACACAATCCATGATCACGCGCCGCAATCAAGGTGCAACCCTTTCGAGCCGTGCGACCGTATTCTGTACGGTAATTGGGATGTCAGATGGGCATCTGCAACCGAGAACTTGAGTTGGGGCGCGGGACGTTTGGATGCCGAGGGGAATGCGACCAATGGAAAAAACCACGGGAATTATCCTTGTGTAAATGATCACCGTTGGACTCGGTTGGGATTGCAGGTTGCAGATTGTAGAGGCCGTTTGCAGCGTTAGTTGGATACGTCTTCGTGAAATGTTGTTCGTGCTTTACAACAATTGTGCGATGCGATAACATCTCGCTAGAGGTGCGTGGCGCATGCCTATTAGCAATACAGCACGGGCAACTACAATGCTATTATAGTAAGGAAGGAGCAACGCTGCCGTCGCAGTCGCGGTTGTGGTGCTGTCATATCGCGACTTCCGTTATCCTCGGCTAAACACCCCGACCATGACAATCGCCCACCAAAAGGTCTAGAGCATCCTCGAATCCGAACGCGAGCATGTGTAAAGGAACCCTTGTCTTGGAAGGTATCCGCGAACGTAGATCTGCCCTCGGGTCGCTGTGGGTATCGTGGTGGGCGTGATCAGCCCGGATGGTGGGGTAGCTAACCTGCGTGCTAGGGCTTTCCTTTTGCGAGAGGAGGTGCTTCAAGCTTCATCCTTGACAGTTTGGGAAAGAGCGCTGCGGGCCGTTTCGCTCCCGTAAGTGTGCCATTGGAGGACGTCACTTTGAGATGGAAGTTGGAAAGATGGTTATGAATGTTTGTATATTGTAAGTCTAACGGTTGTGATATATGTGATTGGAGGGAGTAATGAGGAAGATGTTAGATACGTGTGAGCGTGAAATATAGGTGGGCTAGGTAGAGATCCTCCTTCTATAACTCGTCTAGCCCGGACAAACAGCACAAGCTGTCTCGACCTTGACAGTAGCGAGGATTACGCCGTCGTGGCCGCGTGCGCACTTTCGCTGCGAGATCTGGCCCTTGGGACACATTTGCTGGAAGATCATCTGGGTGTGTCCGCACTTGTGGGAGTAGGCGTGGTAGAAACACATTGTGAGTTTGTGTTTTGCGTGACGTTGGTAATGACCGTGAGATCGGATAGCCTCTTTGTATGGTGGATGAGATGGTGTGACTCGGAGTCTACTTCATGGTCAGCAATGGTACTCTTCCAAAGTACACTGTGGCCTTGGCGAGCTCCTGTCGTGTGTCATACCTTGAATAGAGTTCGGATCGGACAATGAAGGAGCAAAAGAACGTATGCTGAGATGATTGACAGCGTGATACTGTTGGAACGAAAGTGTTGGATAAGAACGCTCGATAGAAGTCCAGATGACTGATGTTGTGACCATCTCTGTCGTAAGCCTCAGCTCTTATACAACGAGATATGCGTTAATAGGTTCATAATTGCATGATTGCTATCTATTGCTCAAGTTGCGCGGTTTGACATCCGCGAGCAACCAAGCAATTAGAAACTCATCCGTCTGGTTGAACAACCACGGCAAGGCGTTTCGAAGACTAAGCGGATGCCAGTCCCGCAATAGTCACCTCCCAAGATGAGTCGCGGCTTGTCGTCGACTGTTGACATTGAGGTCGTACTAAGCGAGTTGATGAGAGGTGTGAGCATTCAACAAGTGCAGTCAGCACCTATGCTGAAGATGCTGCCAGCGTCGTCGCACAATCAATGACGGGCGGCTCCGGATAGGCGAGCACGAAGCAACTGTTTGGCTTACTCAAGTCCCACAAACCCATACTCGCCGGGAGACAGCCATACTAAGAGATGACCAAACATCAAATCTGACAATAGCGAGATTTGCTCTTCTGAACGGTACCACGGGGGCGGCCATCATGGTAGTTTGTTTGATTCGAGGACCGGAAATTCGCCGCACTTGTTCATGTCTTCCTCAAACCCGCCGCACCGTCGGAAATCAACCGACATTCGTTGCGACGTTTGGTTCCGCTGAAGTTTGCGCAATCGTCGTCGTGATTTGCGGCCACCTTGCCTCGGTATGTCCCGGTCACACGGTGCTGGAATCCCAAGCGTTTCTACTAAGTTGCGGAGCTGAAAGCTCTGACACACATTCTAGTGCCGTCATGCTCGTGAAATCAAGAAGGCTGGCTATCAGTAGTGCTCTTAGCTGCCGACGACATTAGGCCAGCATTTTGACAATTCCAGCCAATGAGCATGCGGCCTCACCGCCAATTCGTGTGGAGACTTTCGATGCAGATACGCCGCCAGATCCCGCAGATGACGAGACGATAGCTCGGATCTATCAATGGATGCTAGTTTCTTGGACGTAAAGATGGTGGGTAGGGTCCCAATGGAGGTATCGGGTCCATGTCGCCTTCAAGGCTGGGAGTTGCAGAGAGATCCACTCAGGCATATTGCTAAGCCTGCAGGATACATGTTGACATGCCAGGGACGCCCGTCTACATCAGTGTCTCGTCAGCATGCATCGTGCTAGTCCTCACCGTGGGGTAGAGGGCCCGAGTGACAACGCAAGCGCATGCTGTCCGTGGCGGAGTTGGAAGCGCCATGGTTAGGGCTGTCGAAGCGTCTCTTGCGGCAGACGGACAAGTAGCATGATGGCATACTGCACCCCACTCAGCCGTGGAACGATGCGCTGGCAAACGGTGTGGTTCATCTGAGACTGCAGGCGAGGCACAGGCGTGCATGGGCGCGTTGGCGAGGCTCTCAAGCGGGCGTGTTGGAGAGGCGTTGACGTCGAGCAGGAGAATAAGTGAAGGCAGCTCTAGCCTGCGTGCCAGCTGGCAGCGCCCCGTCTGAACTATTAACGGCAAAAAGGACATGCAGCGACGTGAGCAGCTTAGCGGAGGAGTTCGACGCTTGACACGTAGCCCACCATAGCTCGCCTGTCTGCAGATTGACGCAGGAGCTGCACCTGCGTCTCCAGCAGGCCGGATAGAGTGCGCGGGTTACTACTAGCATGCGTTTCCTCAGCGTTCGCCCTGCCATTTCCTTTTTGCGCCGTTGGTGAAGTTGTCATTTTCGCATCGCGACGGCCGCCCGCTCCTCAACACCAGGCCGAGCGCAAGGGTCTGCGCATCACCAGAAGACGCCCCGCCGCCTGCCCTGAGCGCGATCGAACGGCTATCCCAAGCATCTCGAGCTTGAGGCATTGCAAGTGTGCGCGGCCCAGTTTCGCTTCCTCGGCGTCCCAAACAGCTGCACTGACCGCTGCCACACCGCCTGCCGACGTCACGGCCCTTAAGACGGTCGCATTGCCTCGTGCGCGCTGGACGAGGAAAGCTGGCTTGGTCGCCATGAATGCGCTGTCCACGGCCTCGCACCCTCAACATCCACCGCGCAATTGACGTCTGACGTCTGCTAGCCTGTCGCAAAAGGGTCTCGCAGCGCCTCACCTCTTGCGCCCGCCCATTGGCTCCGCCATCACCCCCGCCGTCGAATAAGAGACCGGCACTCGCCCTAACCATCGACACCGTCTCGCCCTATCCGTTTCCAGATATCCCGATCGAGGTGAGCCGTTGCTGCTTCCCATGATCTGGAAGCAAGACTGACAGTTGGCCAGACAGTTCATCACTCGTGGCGCTCCCACGACCGTCTTCCACCGCTTC